CTCATCAGAACCTGATCATGCTGGCACCCTGATCGCAGACTTTCAGACTCTAAGACCTGTGAGAAATAAACGTTGTTTAAGCCACCAGTCTATGGTATTCTGTTATAGCAGTCTGAGTTGACTAAGTCACCTGCTTTCACCACTGCTCTTCAACATTATACTGGAAGTTCTAGCTAGTACAGTTAGACAAGAAACAGAAATAAGTGGATCCATTTGGAAATGAGGAAGTGAAACTATCTTTAATCACAAATTACATGATGCTGTATGTAGAAAATCCCAAAGAATTTCACAAGAAAGCTACTAGAGCTGATAAATTCAATGTTTCAGTGTACAGATCAACACAGAAATCAGTTGAGTTTCTATACACCTCCAGTGAACAATCTGAAAGGAAATTAAGAAAGCACTTCTATTTACTATAATGCCTAAAAGAATAAAATATCCAGGAATAAATTTAACCAATGAGGTAAAGAATTGTACACTGAAAACTACAAAACATTGGTAAATTAAAGAAGTTCTAAATAAATGGAAAGATATCCTATGTTCATGGACAGGAAGACTAAATATTGTCAGTATTATTACCCAAAGTGATCTACAGATTCAGTGCAATCCCTTTCTAAATTCCAGTAGCGTTTTTTTTCAGAAACAGAAACCTGATCCTTAAATTCATATGAAATTGCAAGAGACCCCAAATAGCCAAAACAATCTTGAAAAAGAATAAAGTTGGAGAACTCTTTCTCGATTTTAAAACTTACTACAGAAAGAGAAAAACAAATACCATATGCTAATACATATATACGGAATCTAAAAATAAATAAATAAATAAAAATAAAATATGGTTCTGAAGAACCTAGGGGCAGGACAGGAATAAAGGCGCAGAGGTAGAGAATGGACTTGAGGACACGGGGAGGGGGAAGGGTAAGCTGGGACGAAGTGAGAGAGTGGCATGGAATTATATATACTACCAAATATAAAATAGATAGCTAGTGGGAAGCAGCTGCATAGCACAGGGAGATCAGCTCGGTGCTTTGTGACCACCTAGAGAGGTGGGGTAGGGAGGGGGGGAGGGAGACACAAGAGGGAGGGGATATGGGGATATATGTATGTGTATAGCTGATTCACTTTGTTATAAAGCAGAAACTAACACACCATTGTAAAGCAATTATACTCCAATAAAGATGTTAAAAAAACCCACAAACTACAAAGCTATAGTAATCAAAACACTGTGGCACTGATATAAGGACAGACATATAAACCAGTGGAATAGAGTTGAGAGTCAGGAAATAAACCCATACATCTATGGCCAGTTAAGCTTTAGTAAGGGTGCCAAGTCCATTCAGGGGGGGAAAGAATAGTCTCTACAAGAAATGGTGCTGGAACAGCTAGATTTCCACATGCAAAAGAATGAAGTTGGACCCTTATTTTACACCATGTACAAAAATTAACTGAAATGGATCAATGTGCTCTTTGCCAAGCACAAGGTTTTTTTTTTCAATATCAGAAAGGGTAATTAAAGTGAAAATTATTTTAAAAGAATAGAGTTCTTTGGGAACAATACTGTTTTGTGTAGTTCGTTCACTCTACAAATATTTATTATCCAAAAGTCATATGACAGCATTCTGCGCTAAGCACTGGAGATACAGTGGTGAACAAAACCAAACTTGTTCTTAGCTTTAATGGAATTTACCATCTAGTGGGGGGAGATAGACATTAATAAAATCCACTACTGAGTAATGTAACATTCTAATTGTGATATGTGTATGTAAGAAAGTATATGTGCTATTATGAGGGTTTGTAATAGAGTAGTGCAATGTGGTTTCACGGAAGTCTTCCTGGAGAGGGGGGAGCTGAGCTGAGAGACAAAGGATGAGTAGGAATTAACCTGGTTAAGACGGAAGGGGAGAGTGTGGTTAGCTCCAAAGTTGTCTAGGGTTTTTGTCTGCAGATAGTAATGGACTTAACAATGGATTTCACTTTATCTTTTGTTTCTGACCCGTTTGGCTGAGTGGCTGTTTTCTGTGTGTTCCATCTGTCTTCCAGAATCTCCAAGTGTGCTGTGCATAGAGAGTATTTAACAAATGGACACTCACTGATAGAAAGTATTTGAGAGTCTACTGGAAGTTAAATTTTTTCAAAGTAATTCAATTCTGAGGCAGTTAAAAGTTTTCCCTTTTAAAATTTTTAAAGAAAATGTATCTTAATTTTTAATCTCTTATGATTAAATAATGAAATTATTAAGCAGCTACTTTTAGACAAAGTAAGGTAAATATGCCTTCTTCATAAATTATGCTCTTAGAACCTATTTATATTTTGATTAAAATGGATTTTTTTCTGTGTAATTTAAAACCTTATTTTGAATGGAAGTGATATGAATGGCTTATGTAATTTCTGCCAAGGAATTAATATGGACTTTCTCTAAACCACTGTCATTTATAATCAAAATGCTTTTAACTTACATTGATGTTGGCATTAACAAGTACTGCTAGATTGGTAGCATAGAAGGAGATTGCATTTAAACTTACTGGGAGATCACTGATGCCTGAGGTTGTATAATGCCTTCTGTGGGCCATTTAACTGCTGGCAACTTTAATTCACATGATTCATAATGCTGGAAATTTAAATTCACTCTTAATTGGAAAGTGAAGTTGCTTAAATTCTTTAAATACTAACCTTTGGAAAAATATCTGAAAAATAAAGGCACATATGATTTTGGTGGCCTACTGCCAAAAGATTATCATTTACATAAATATCTCTTTCAGTAGAAGAGTTTAATGTATTGAGCTCAAAAGGTTAGAATAGAGACTTCAATCTGGAAACCAGCAGCAGACTGTTGGCTTGTGAACAGCAGTATTGTTCATCATATTGAGAACACTGTTCACATTCAAGCTTAAGCAGAGCTGGCATTAAAATTCAGTTAATTTGTTTCATGTGACTTGTCAGCTGTGTGTTTTTATCTAAATCTTTCTAGCTTCTCTTCTTAGTATTTTATGTTAAACTCCTGAAATAGATGAACTACCTTTTTAACTGTTTAAGCTCTGATATTTTGGCTACTTCTGCAGATGATTCTGTGAAGCCATTCTTCAAGTTTTCCATTTCATTTTAAATATATTTAATAATCAGTTTGAAAGCCAATTTAATTTATTAAGAAGTAATCCCATTTCAGAGGGCTTTTTGTTTTGTGCCTGTGTGCATGAGTCCATAAAAGGGACTTCCTGAAATTCATTAAGACAAAATTGCTATCCTTATTTTCTAAGCAGCACCCTGTTCTTTTCTTGTTTGCTAATTTTGTTCTCTGGATTTTCTTTTAGATGGCTTTTAATAAATGGCTACTAGCCAAGTAGTGGGCCTGAGTAGTAAAGTGCTAGTCCCAGAGAAATTATGTAACTATAACTAGTATTAGAGTAAGATTCCATTTCACTTTTTTGAAGGGCCTGAAAATCTTACTGCTTCTCTGAAACTAGACTCAGTATAATCTCACAGTTAATATTCTTGACTAATTGGGAATTGAGTGTTTTGAAGACATCTTCAGATTTACAGTGATTCTAAAACAGCTTTATGAGATGTAATTGACATACAATAACCTGCCATATTTAAATTGTACAATTCCTGAAGTTTAAATATATATACATATATATAGACACACACAACACGCATCCCCACCAAATTGTCGCCGCCTTTAGGAGAGCAGACATATCACTTCCTAAAGTCCCCTCCCATTCCTTTGAAGTCTCTCCCTGTCATTTCTCTTCCCCACATCCCTGACTTCACAGGGAACCTTTATCCTTTTTCTGTCACTATAGGTTGGTTTACATTTTCTAGTTTTATATAAATGAAAAAAAAAATACAACTATGTATTCTTCATTTGCTATATTCTTTCACTCAACATAATTTACTATGAGATTTATCCATGTTGCCTATATAAATAAGTCCATCCCTTTTTATTGCTAAGTAGTATATTCCATTATATGGCTATACCACAAGTTATTTATCTTTTCCTTGTTAGCGGACATTTGGGTTATATCCAGATTTGTCATCTACTTCCTTGTCTTTTAAGCTCCTTCATATTTTCCATTCCTTTATCTCTCTGTGATGTATTTTTACTCACTGCCTCAGATTGGCACATGGCCTGGCATGTAGTAGGTTGAACCCTATGGGATTGTCAATATTTGACCATTTTGACCTATAAAAATGGCAGTTTCGTATAGTTCAACATAGAAGTGTTTACTAAGTATTTTTTAATGAATGTCACTTGTTTTTACATTTAAGACCTCTGCCTGATACAAAAAGTATTTACATATATAAATTCAACTAGGTTAAAAGTTATGCATAATGAAAAATAGACTAAGTGACACTGTAATTGGTAGTTATCGTGTCTGGTTGGTAAAATGATGTGGATTTTTTTTCCCCTTTCTGTTTTTCTGTATTTCTTTGCCTTATATATATGCTTATATAGTAAGCACAGATTACTTTTATAATAGAAAATAAAACCTTTTATAAAAAAGGAAAAATCTGTGCTTTTTTCTAGTTCATGTAATTTATTTAGAAATTATTCTTTATTTCTTCCTTTTCAAAGGCAAGAACCCTGGTATTTTATAATAAGCATGGATTTTAGAGCCAGTCAGATTCTCTTAGTTGTGTGACTTAGGCAGACTGTTTAATTTGTCTGAGGCTACTGTTCACATGTGTAAAATGGTAACTCATTTAGTCTTCACTAAGAGGTAATCATTAACATGTGACATACCTAGAATATGTTACTTTCTTTTCTCTGTTTTCCTAGCCCAAATCCTGCCTTTCATTAGGACAATGTAATTCTGACCTCACACTTGTTACCTTAGTAATTTTGTAACTATACCACTTGTTTTGTTCCTTTTTCTTTTCTTTAAAAAAATTATGAGAGCAAGGTGTATAATGTGTTATTTTTTTAAATAACAAATTTTAAGTTACACGCAGAATTTGCCTAATAGTGACATTAATGACCATTTTTGTTTGTTTCTTATTTGAAGAATATCAAAGAATATTCCAACAACTAAAGATGTTGAGCCACTCCTGGAAATAGATGGAGATATAAGAAATTTTGAAGTGTTTTTGTCTTCAAGGACCCCAGTTCTTGTGGCTCGAGATGTAAAAACCTTTTTGCCATGCACTGTAAATCTAGACCCCAAACTACGGGAAATAATTGCAGGTGGGTATTAGTAATAAATTTACCTTTTCCTCTCTGCGGCACTGAAGGCTTTTCCTGTTTCTGACTTAGCTGTGTAAGTTTCTCCTGCGCTCCATGAAACACCAAGAAATATCGAACGAAGCGCTGCACAGGAGAATTAATGAAACTGCGGATCGGCAGTCTGACATCTTTTGGGAGTGCTAGGAAAATGCTGTTTGTTAAATTGACCTTTTTATGTTTCCCAGCCTACACAGCTGAACCTTCTTTGGAGTCAGGTTCCTTTTAACGGTATAATCACCACTTTAAGATGTCAGTCCATTGTAATTTTTCTGTCACCGGTCTTCTGTCTTTAATAGGCATCTCTATCCAGAGGGGTAAGAAAATCTATATCACTTTTAAAATTTTAGCTTAAATCTGTGGACTAGAGCTTGAGGACAGTGACATGAGGATTTTGGAAGAATTTAAGTTGTCCTTGAGGCACCACTGTATGCACATGGACACACACAGAACCTTTGCTGAGACATACCATCTTCTGTATGATGCGCGTGCTCCTGACTCACCTTGGCATTTTCCAGGAATTATGGAGAGAGAGCCTTATACTCCTACATTCTTTTTTAGATACCTGTTATAAGGCTGTTGTCAGAGGTGTATTTTGTGACTATGGAATTGGTTATTGTTATTGTTCAGAGGTGGATGAGACATATAGTTTGCAAACCCACAATCTTAGCTAACGTTATGTTTACTACACAAGTTTGAATTATTAATAATTAACAAAACTGTGAGTCACAAGAGCTGTTAGAATAGCACAAATACCTTGAAAAGTCAGAAAAAAGTTTATAGTTCTGGTAACTGAGGAGAAGAATCCAGATGTTGGTGACTTTTCAAATGGTGAACAAAAGCTTTTATGCAAAGTAGTTGCGTTTCTCTTGCTAAAATGTCTATGGAGTATATTCAGAATTTCCTGTCTACTTCTGTAACCCAGTTGAAATCCTTGGCAAGAGCTAGACAGTCATGTTTCTATCTGGTACCTAAAGGAGGAAATGATAATTGGACTAAATACTAATGTTCTGTTTTCTTTTGCCTTCTGGGGTGTTGTTTAATCTTTTAGATGTTCGAGCTGCAAGAGACCAGATTAATATCGGAGGACTTGCGTATCCCCCGCTACCTCTGCACGAAGCTCCCCCTAGACCACCGTCGGGCTACAGTCAGCCTGCGTCGGCCTGCTCTTCTTCCGCCTCCTTCACTGCCCCGTTTGGAGGAGGGGTTGTGTCACCACAGCCTCATAGCAGCTATTACAGTGGTATGACGGGGCCCCAGCATCCGTTCTACAACAGGGTAAGCAAGTGCTAGGAATCTTAAATTTTAAGAATTTCTTCCAGGGAAGTATTAGAAGTTTTCTGCTAATGGAGTCTGTTATTATTTTAAAACTGTACTTTAGCTTTAAAGACAAAAAGTGTTAAGTTTGAATGCAGTATGATTTTTTAAAAATCAGAAGAGTTTTGAATTTTAACGGTTCTAGATCTCAATTGAGTCTGAATATTAGAGATGCTTTTTGCTTTTATTTATTATCTTAATAAGAAAGTGAACTCTACGGGGTCAGCAGAGACTATCCTGTCCTTCAAAGGGATCTGTTTTTCTATTTTTTTATAAACAAATATTCCAGTTGTTGTATCTTGTATAATAATTTATATTGGCATTTAAAACAATGATAATTTTTATAGTAGTTCAGTAAACCTATATTTAATATGTGTTACAGCTTTTAAATGTGAGATAATAATGGGAAATACTGCTGGTAGGACTCAGGTGCTATTGCCAAATAATAACACTGTAGCCAATTTCTGCAGTTTTATTTCAAGTTATCTTCAGTCATGTATAATTATTTGCATAGTATAAGTATGATAATTTTCTACTTCAAAAGATGAGAGCACAATTAATTATCAGCAGTATTCAGACCCTATCAAGTTTAGTAGGTCCAAGCTATCCTCATTTTAATGGTCTTAAACACTAATATTTCCTATAGGAAAATGGAGCGTCTGCTCTAGTATTATACTTTCTGGAACTGTACTCTAAGATCCCTTGCAGTTTCTTTATTTTTGTTGTCTCCCTCTTTAGTCTAATTTGAGAAAACACAGGGGCTAGTATTCATAGAAGCCAAGTGCATGCCTAAATAAATTTCATATAAGCTAGGAAGATAGAGAAATTTGAATAAATATGGCAAAGCAGGAATTATAAAATTTAAATTTTCCAGTTTTTGAGAAATGCCAGCCATGTAAGTTATTAGTTATACCATTTATAGAGGTCCTATGAATGTTATTCCATTCTTTTACTCAAATAAGGAGAAAAAGGTGGAGCAATAGCATTTTCTAATGTATTTCATTCTTGTAAACTTGAACTGAGTGATAGGCAGTGTGAAATGCAGGTTTTTATTTGCCAGTCTTAAAATCCGCTAGAATTTTTCATAAAATGGTTCAATTGATAATTAGATGACAGTTGAAGTTTTGGGACCAATAAGTTTTTTTTTAATATTAAATTACCATACCATCTAGGTGGAGACCTTGTGTTCACTAATTTCACATGAATAACAATGATGTGATGCTTTAATATCGTTTTATTATTTTTAAAACATTAAAAAATTTCTCGTGTTTTTAGATCTAGTTATTTTTTGCTCTAGTCATTTGAGGTGTTTAGTCTGAAAGTTAAAAGCAGAACAATTTTCTTAAAATGGCAGGAGTGAAAAAGGTAAGGGAAGATGTTACATCAGTGTAATGAAAGTTAATATGTTTTAATCTTTATTTTTAGCCCATATAATCTGATAGCTCCTGTGTATATGAAGCTGGATACAAATAAATGGTGTATTTATAGATCTCCTCTAAACAATGAATTCCCCGTTTAAAAAATATGCTTGTTTATTTAGGAGACAAAGTCCAGGATATAGAATGTAAAGTAAACTCTAGGAACCTAGAGTAACAGTATTCCTGGAATCCATGTTTAGGAGGTTCTCATATAATTCAGACTTTCTTCGGTCTTACTTAAGGCTCATCTTTTTTTGGTAAAGAATAGTATTCTATTGAGATTCTATTTTGCTTTTTTTTTTTTTTTTTTTTGGGAGTGTGAGTTAATATTTGTAAATCACTTAGAACCTGACACATGGTAAACTCATAAAAATGTTAAATGTAAAGAGAAACTCTGGTGTCAAGTTGTAAGGTACAAAACTTTAGTTGCTTTTTAAAAAGCTTTATTAAATCAACAATATAAAAATTTAAAGAATATGTCTTAAGTTTGGGTTTGATATAGAATATGAGTGAGGCATTTTTTCTTTTGTTCTGTCACTTGCATTAAAAACTTGGAGTTGTATTATATTGGTTAGTTTCATTTGCTACATCTCATTTCACTTTGATTTCGGTAATTGTTTTGTTACGTGTTTTCTCCATAGCCATTCTTTGCCCCTTACCTTTACACGCCAAGGTACTACCCTGGCGGCTCCCAACATCTCATCTCACGTCCATCAGTAAAAACGAATTTGCCCAGAGATCAGAGCAATGGCCTAGTAAGTATAAAAAAGCGTAACTAAAGTATTACTCTAATATGAAACATAGTCAGCATTAGAAGTTTGCTTATTTCCTTTCTGTAGTAAAAGCACAACTTATTTTATAAGCAGTTTTAAGAAACATAAGCTGTTACTAACACAAAATGTATTTTGTTTTCATTTCTGGTAAATATCAATGAAAGGAAAATGACTTGCAGGGTCAGGAGGTAAATGATGAGTTGTTTACAACCAGAGTTTCTGGCCAATAATGTTTGTTATCAAACTTTTAAAACTAAACCTTTACATCTGCTAATTTCTGATTTCTTTTTAAAGGGCATACATATATGGTAGTTGTGTCTATCTGTGTATATATATGCTAGCCCTATGGTATAAAAATTAGAGGACTTATTGAAAGAACATTTAGATTGAATAGCAGAAATTATATAGAATCAGGGAAGTATTCAAATGTACTATTAACTCTAATCCAAAACAAAATACATTTGTGCCTAAAATTTTAGCTCTTCCTGATGATAAACGTGCGTTAACAATTTAAAAAAACTCCCTGTTAATGTATTTTTTAAATTAGGAGGCAAAAGCTATAGAACTTAAACTGTTATTTAAATTTTGAAATATTATCACTGAAGGAAAAAAATCTAATCACGTCCAGGTTTCAGTGTTATATATTATTTCAACATCATGTTCATTCATCATCCTTGTTTGGCTCACTCCTTCACCTTTTACCCACACTCTTGTTTTGTGTTGTTAGGAGGTTATCAAGGAGGATGCTGCTGAGGGGCTTTCTTCACCCACAGACTCCTCGAGGGTAACGGAGTAGTCTTGTGGTGTGGACGCGAGCATCTCCCGCTTCTGCAGCAGTAACGACTGTCTTAATCATGATGACAGCAGTTCACTAACTGTGCATCTGCAGTGTGATGGGCAGCTGGTGTAGAGTAGCTGAATACTAATAATTATAGTTCACGGATTAATTAAAAAGCTAATGTTTAACTTTACCCTTCATTTCCTCCTGCTTTTCCCCTTTTTCAATGACATGGGATGGGTTTTTTTTTTTTTGTCGTCCAATAAGGAAGGGGTTTTTCCAGCAGCCGTCAGGAGCATTCATTTGGTGGTATTAGTTCCTTAATGTTGGGCCTTTATTTTCACATTTGCCTGTTTTTCTGAAGCCTGCAGTTGGTACCACACATGTAGAATAGGTTTGAAAATATCTCCAATCAACCTTGAGACTCTGCAAAAAGACATGATGAGCTAGACGGTATAGACCAGGGATGGATCCTTAGTGGCTCGTGCTTACTCTAGGTGCCCGTGCTTAGTGTAAATTCAGTACTATTACAGCGCTACTTTTCTTTATCTGTATACAGTTGATCCTTAAACAATGCAGAGGTTAGGAGCACCAAGCCTCCTACCAGCCTAATATCCTAGCAGTCTAAAATAGAGACTGTAACTTATAGTCAGCCCTCTTGCGGAAGTGGTTCTGCATCTCCGGATTCAACCAACTGCAGGTCGGGTAGTACTGTTGTATTTACCATTGAAAAAAATCTGCCTATAAGTGGACCCGCACAGTTCAAACCTGTGTTGTTCAAGGGTCAACTGTATTTATTAAAATAAAATTTCCAGATAAACAGAGGGAATTATTTAAAACTTTTTTCCCCCCAACACTTTAGGATGGGTGTCTTTAAAAAACCAACTTTTGTAGGAAGCCTCTTTGTCTATTTATTATTCAAGGCTTTGTACTTAATAAGAAATACATTTAATGTGATGAGCCATAAAATCTTCATTCATTCAATGTGGAATTTAAGAACCCAGTTTGTATCTTAAGTTCTGTTGATTTATTTGCAGAATGTTATGCCCATGTAAACATTATCAATTTAATCTAAAGAAATGTAGCATAGCAGTTAGAATTACTTTGGTGAAATATTGCATCCTGAATTGATGCATAATTTTTAACTCAAAACATGCATTTGAATAGGCAGTAGTTTTTTTTTTAACTTTAATTTTCTTTGAGTTAATATTAGTGAGATAGGAAGAGAACCTTGGTGTTTTCATTGAGGAGCTTATGATTCTTTTTAAGTCATTAACATTTTAGCTGAAGCATTTGAGAGACTTCAGTTATCCACGAATGATAGACAAAATAAACCATAGTAATTCTATTTGGGTGTTGGGGGAATATTTAATCCATGGATCATTGCCACTATATGCAAGAATGACTTTTAGTTTAGCCAGAGAGCCTTTAATACATAGTTTCGTGCATGCAATGCAATTCTCTGAGCTAAAATTCCTCCGCAAACTTTTGATGAAAGTTAGATCCTGTGAAGAATTTGATGGTCTTAACGACAGAGACATGCTGAAGTAGTAGCTATTCCCATGCTTAAGGACCAGCACTTGTGAGTGAAAGGTGTTTGTAATTTCAGGGACCAGTGAAGGAGCATTAGGCAAATTTTAAAATGAGTTTTTGGGGAAGGGGAAATAATGCAGTTCTTAAGAAGTGTTTACAAGCGCAATAACGAAGAGTAAAAATGCTCTGAATATATTAGTGCCTTTGTTTAGTAAAATAACCATACTACTTGCTCTTCTTTTAATATTAAAAGGTAGTTTTGTAATCTGCTTAGTGAATAATAGTTGCTTCCCAAGCCTTCTTTGCTTTTGAGAAATTAACAATGACAATAGCATGTAAAATTTATTTAGAAGTAGACTAGTTCAAGTAGACACTTAGTTCAAAGCCGTGTTCAAAACAGTGGTGGCAATGTGGAGAAGTGTCTGTGCGTGAGAACACGGTATGGGGTTCTTATAGCTGAACCTACGAGGAAGTAGTTAATCTAATACAAACATTTCTGTAGCCCTTCGTGGCTCCTGTGGTTTTCCAGTACTGTAGTAGAAAACGATGTGATTTCTGAGATAAGAAGACTGCAGGTGAGTTCATCTCTGCTCATTCCTCTGTCTCCTGTATGCAACACTTGATGACAAGAGCTGCTTATAGATGAGTCAGGAGCTACGCGAACATTTTTGGACAAATTGTCTTGTCATTATGACACAGAATAATGAGTTAAAAAAAAAAAAAAAACCACCAGAAAACCAGATCAGAGAGAGTTAACCAGCTCTCTTTGGTCTTTTCAATATAAGTGGTCCCATCTTTTTTTACCTCAAGGAATTTCTCATAAACCTTCATAAAGCAGAGGCTTATGAAAATAGTTGAGTTTTCTCACATTAAGGAACGTTGTAATGATTGTGACTTGTGAAGACCAGCCAAGGACTTAACAGATAAATTCTACAGATGTCCAAGGGTCTCATTAAGGCGGAGACATGAGATACAAGCCTCTGTGCTGGCTTTTTTCCACTGTGATTTTATAATAGAGAAAATATATGCCAAATCTTATAAAACTGAAAAAAAATATATTAACATTGGGCCCAGGATATGATCCCCAGGATATTAGAGCTAGAAAGGACTAGTGTTTTTCAAACTTTCAAAGCAGAGAAGCCTTTTTTAGAAATGAAATCTTAATGAGAATTCTAGTTTACAAAACCAGTGAAAAAGGAACTCTGGCCCCCCACCTTGGACTTGCCTTCCTTCTGGGGGATCCTCAGAGAACGCTAGAACCCATGGTCTAGTCCAGTACCAGGGTGCAGACTTCCCTGCGGCTCACGGGAGGGGAGCGCCAGGTGCAGAGCTGGAATCCGTGTGGCTGTTTCCGTGGACCGTGTTCCTCACCACCGTGCTGCCCTCTTTGCCCCTGTTAGTACTAAGCATGACTTGGTCATTCAAGTTAAATCGGCCCTGGTGATTAGCTCTTTGCCTTGGAGAAATTACTTAACCTCTCTGATACTCAACTTCCTCATCTGGAAAAAGCAGACATACCTCACAGGTCTGCTTTAGGGATTACTCAGCCTTTGCATACTTTAAGTACTTAATAATCATTGTTATTACTACTGTCCCAAAGACCAAATTCCATGGAGCTTTAAAAAGACTCAGAAACTAACACCGTTTTATGTTAAATAGCCTCTTCTCAGTGGTGGGAGTAGTGTATAAACACTCCAGTCAGTTTAGATTAACTCAGCCTTTTATCTGTTGATGCTTCTCTGGCCCAAAAGGTGGTTTGATTTCCTAGAAATCAGTTTGTTTTCCTAGAATTTAGAAGGATTCCCAGCTTATCTGAATGCTCCAAATATTTTACAGTTTTGAAAGCTTCCCAGGAGAATTTTACTTGGTGCCTTTACCTTCTTTCAGTCCAGGTCCCACTAGGACGTAGTGGCATTCAGATCATTCTGTGACCATGAAGGGAAGGACCCACCAAGGAGGGCCTGTCTCGAGCCAGGTCTCCTCAGTGGCATTTTGTTGTGGTCTTTCAAAGAGTTCTTATGAGTGTTGTGTTCAGTCTGTTTTTATTTAGGGTATGTTGCTCATGGTGGCAACTGTGCTTCCTTGAAAAGCATTTTTTCGAAGGAAGGAGTGATAGAGCATTTCTTTATCCTTCCTTGAATTATTTAGCATTGAGTCCTTCAGATGCCTGTTTGATCATCCACTGGTTCACTGTTGCAGTGGGATGTGGCAGTGAACAAAGCTGATGGAAATCCTGCCTTCTTGGAGCGGATGGGTTTGAGGCTGCCAAGCGGGAACGATCAGTGTTGCTACCAAGTCATTCTTTCTCGACCTCCTATGCCGCAGGGGTTACTAGATACCTTTAGATAGCTTCATTTAGATCAGCTGCCTCACTGAAAAGACATGAAAATAACTAGCACAACGTTTAATTGCGGAGAACTTCAGAGTTGCAGAGGCAGTGTTAATAACAGTATCCTGCCTTACAGTGTGCTGTTACTTTTACTTTTAGAGATTGGTGAAATTTACTGAATTAATAAAAGTCTTAAAAATGAAGGTCTTGGTTTTCATTAAACCGGATCCAATTGGTGGAGTGACCAAGTTAAAAGGGAAAAAAAGATGGGACTCAACTGTAGATTATTTTTATTTCCACCTCTGGTTTAGAACTCCTGACCTGTTAAACAAAATACATGTCCAAATCAAGCAGTCTCTCATCGCTCAGGAGCAGACTGGGATGAGAAAGCTAAAGCTGCCGTGGGTAAGGTGGGGTGCGCCTCAGGCTCATTTAGGGGCAGGCCTAGCGTCTCAGGCTCATTTAGGTGCAGGCCTAGGGCAGGTGCCCTTTGCCAGCAGTCAGCGCCTTTTCTCAGGAGGCTCACTCACACTTTCTAAAGCATTTTCGGAGTGCACTTTTTTATTGATCTGTTTCAATTTGGAAAAGTTTTAACATATTTTTTCTCTAGTAATGTAGTGAAAAATTATGTTCACTTCCAGCTTCAAAGTCTTTGTGCCAGCTCAAGAAAGCTTTTTCCCTAAACAATAAACTGCAACTAAATTGATTGAGATATTATCGAAGAAGTAGGATACTGCAGTAAGGATACCATTGAAATCCTAGAGTACAGTTAAAAGTTAATAAATAACAAAATCGTGTCCTGAACTTGTGTCTTTTTAAAGATTGCCCTTTACATGTGGTGTTAAACCTCATCTGTCAACTTTGACCTAATTATTACTGGGTTGGCCAAAATGTTCGTTCAGGTTTTTCCATAAGATGTTATGAACTTTTTGGCCAACCCCAAATTTCTCACGTAGTTCAAGTCTCCACAGATGCTCATAGTAACTTTCTAAAAAACCTACTTATAATAACGTTGATATGTAAACTAGCAAACAAGGTTCCCATAAGGTACTCCAGATAATGACATAGTATAAGAAAAACATTGTAAATTAACTTTGACTCAATATTGTCAGTTATCTATAGATTTTAGCTATTTTAAGAATGTTTACCACCAACCTAATTTGTACAGAAGGATAATTAGTAGCGGTGTGTCCGCTTTGAATTAGAGTTTCAGAGAACTCCGCATCAGTAAAATAGTTACGTTACTCACAGTATGCAAATATTTTTCACTGTTATATTTACGATTTCTTGAGCTGAAAGACTCTTAGGGCCTTTCTTTTCAAATGGTATTTTAGTGCATCTATTACGTGCCACATGCCCAGTGAAACAAAAACCCAAATTTGAAAAGTATATCTCTGAATGTTAACTATAGTGTGGCTAGATAATATTTTATTTTATGAAGTGAGCATGTGAATTCCAAGTACTTAAACCTTATTATTAAATTGACCTGCAATTAATAGTGGCAGTTTTTTATCAGTATATTTAAAAATTAATTTTAAACTTGTACATAGTAGGAATTTTGACTTTTTGTAGCAAATTTTATTTACCTGGTTTTCTTGTGGAATGTATGGCCCATGATTTATTCTTTTAAGAGAAAGAATATAAAATTTGAGAGTACAATTTTAAAATTACCAAGCACATGTTAATGACATGAAACTACTGTGTGTGTATGTGAGTGTTCCCTGCTTTGTGTTGCTATAGAGGTGGTGTGTTCGAAGTCAAGGGAAAGTAAGAGGAGTGACAAAAGTGCTGCCTGTTTTTATTACATATGTGTATTTGATGTTTTACTTTAAGCCTGTGTCCTTCATTCTGTTTTATTCCTTCCTTAAAGCCGTGTGACTCTGGGTTTAACAAACAGAGACAGGTACAGAAACTTTCAGTGAAATCTTACTCACTTTTCTTGTTTTAGACTGTTAGAAGCAATCATTGGCAGCTTCATGCTGGGCTGTTTATAAATCTGTGCTCATTTCGGTGCCTTGGGTTTATTTTAATAGCTGCTTTCAGCCTTTGCATGGCTCTTATTTCTGGCTAATCAATTCTAAGCTTGTTTAATATATTTACCAAAGATGATAATGTTTCAGAGTGTAGCTTTAATCTACTTATAATATAAAATCATATAGTTATATCAAAGTAATTTAAATCTGTCTTGTTGTTAGCTTTACTTTGACTCGGAGGAATTCTGATTTGTATGTATTTTGAAGTTTATATTTAACAGTTTAAACAAACTAACATCTTCTGCATTCAATCTTCTGTATTAGAAAAAAATTTTTTAAAATAAACTGTGATGTATACTGAAGTGAGCTTTCTTGACTTGTAACAAGTAAATTTCAAGTAAGAATGCATGATAAACTTTAAAGTATTCATTCTTTGTATTGCCAAAGTAATGTAATTAGTTTCCTATTAAGAATTTACATATTGAGTTATTGAATATGCTTTTTCCTTATCACTTTTATACTCTTTCTCCTTCTTTTTATGAGAGTTCCATCTAAAGATCATTATTTTGGCTACTAAGATTCATTTGGTTTCAAAATAATTTTATTATATATGATTATTTTAGAAAAGACCTGGCAAGGAATCACTATTTCTCTTTTATTCAAAGAAGCATATTGTAATGTACTTTAATTTATTGATAATTTACCCCTTTTCTTGAGAAAACCCAACTCACAAATAATGAATAGTCAGACTATAGCTTTAATGGAATTACAGGGATATCCATTGTGTCTTTTCTTATAGGTTCTCAAAGCCATTCAGAGATAATATATATTTTCTACATAATTCCCAATGAGGGACAAGATATGTTTTCAAATGATAAAATGTAAACGTTTTGAAGGATCATGAAAGTAAAATAATGTGGAGTTTTTTGTTTTAAAGGAAAAGGGTAGTATCTTTATTAATGTGTCTCCTTTGCTGAATTCTCAGATTCCTTTAAGATACTCTTTTAACATTTTACATTCCCCCCCACCATGCAGACAGAGTTAATCTGTTCCATGTCTGTTATACTTGCCTTTTTTAGCACAATCAGAAGTAGAGTTTTTTTGTGATTAAAAATTTTTTTTTTACTTTAAAATAATTTTAGACTTCAAAGGTACAAAAATAACATTCCCTTAATGTTAGCATCTTTCCTAACTGTAGTATATTTCTCAAGAGCAGAAGTGAAAATTTGTACAATACTCTTAATACAGACTTTATTTGAATCTGACCAGTTTTTCCACTAATGTCATTTTTCTGGTCCAGGATTCAATCCAGTTGTATTTTGTTATTTCTCCTTAGAGTCCCTTAATCTGTGACCATTCCTCAGTCTTTCCTTGTCTCTTATGACCTTAAAACTTCTGAAGAGAACTGATCAGATATTTTGTAGACTGTCCTTCTATTTGGGTTTGTTTGCTGTTTCCTAATGATTAGAAGATTATACATCTTTGGCAAGAGACCCACAGAAGTGATGCTGTGTCCTCCTCAGTGCATCATATTTGAGCATCTGTGAGGGCCTAAATCTTCCCACTCGTCATGCTAATAACCTCAGTCGTGTGGTTAAGGTGGCATCTGCCAGATTTCAATACTGTGAAGTTTTATTTTTCCCTTTGTAGTGAGTAAATATTTAGGGGGAGGTACTCTAAAACTCTGCAAATATCCTGTTTCTCCTTATACTTTTGCCCATTAACTTTAATGTCCACCAGTGCATCTTGTGTACAGCCACTCTTGTGGTGTTTTCCTGATGGTAATTTTCTGTTCCCTTCTTCTGCATTTATTAATTGGAATTCTGTAAGTAAAAGCTGTCTCTTCTTCCTCATTTATTATTCAACTTTTTATTTATATCAGTATGGATTCATGGATATTTTATTCTATGAATTATAATCCAGTATGATCATTATTTATTTTGGTGATCAAACTGTTCACTTGTGATTTTTCTAATCAAGAAAATGTAAACAAGTGTAAATGTACCCAGAAAGAAGAGCTAGGTTGAGGAATAAAAGCATTTGAAAGACAGTATTAAAGATCATTTAAAAGATAAATATTGTTCAGCAATAAAAAAGAATGAAGTACTGATCCATGCTGTAACATGGATGAACCTTGAAAACATACTCAGTGAAAGAAGCTAGTTATAAAAGGTCACATGTTGTGCGGTTCCATTTATATGAAATGTCCAAACTAGGCAAATCCACAGAGACAGTAGATTAGTGGTTGCTAGGGGATTGGGACTAGGTGTTGGAAGGGATAAAGAACGACTGCTGATGGCACAGGATTCCTTTTTAGGGATACGAAAATGTCCTAACGTTGATTGTGGTGATGGTTTCACAGCTATGTGAATATACTAAAAGTCATTGAATTGTACACTTTTAATGGGAGAATTGTATGTGAATTATATCTCAAATAAACCTGTTTAAAAAGAAAGAAAAACAAAACAAATATGGTTATTAAAAATTCATAAAAAGCAGTTTAAGTTTCCATAGTAGATACTGGATAATTAACACTTTGAATATTGGCTGTACTCATCCAGGCAGAGCATAGAACTTTGTATAAAAATATGAAAACTAAATTCTGGAAGTACTAGTGTTTTGCTGTTAGTATTTTTGAATAATTGAACCTCAGACCGTATAATATATGACATATTTTAAATTTATATTTAATTGAAAATAAACTATAAATAAACGTGTTTTGTGCAGTATATTCCAAGGCATTAATTTACAAATTTTTATGGGACTGTCTTACACTTGTAAACTTGCTAAGACTCCCTCTCAGAAAATCACTGCCTCACTGTCTGTTCAGTATAGTCTCATCTCCTAGCTGTATTTATATTTATATGTAATATAGGCATATTTTGTTTATATACTATATGTGTATATTTATTTATCAGTTCATAATAGAGTATTATGTTACGCTTTCATGTTACAAATCATGTTTAACAAGTAGCTAACGGGCAGTTTTGGCTGTCATAGTCTACCTTGGTAATGATAAAAGAGGCAGTAGAAAATATAAGTTTACACATACTTGAGGATAGGATAAATTGTATTTATTTTAAGACTAGATTGACTGGTAAACAAGACAGGTCATTTGGAGCGTTTTCCTTTATACTAGTTGGTTTGTCTTCTCTTTATTTTGGTTATAGTTTCTATAAACTCTTTAAAAATAGACAGTTGCAACAAAGAAAATAGGAAGTTATAAGACCTGATAAGTTAGGGTTCCCATCCAAATCTACCACTAACTAGCTATTTATTCTGTGACTTTGAAGCCAGAACTTACCTCTCTGTAAGCCAGTGTCCACATCTGTAATCGAGGAGCTTCATATACAGTTGGCCACAGGCACATACTTCTTTAGTATGTCACCATATTCAGAAAATGTTTTTCTTCTAAGTAAATACTAGATTTATTATTTTGACTTTTCTTTTAAATGAGACCAAATTTTAATGGATCATATTTACTTCCACATGTGTTAAGAAGTAATACTGTTGTTTCATATTTACATGATTATTGTATAGATTCTTAAGGGGAAGTTTTAGATCCCTTGGGTATAAAATATGGTCACGATTTGAAAACTTCAGATAGTTAATAGTCGTAGACTGTTAAGGTAGTCTGTAAAGACATTTAAAGCTGTTTGGTATAGGCACTTTTAAAATTATTTCATAGATTTACTTTTTGTATTTTGTAATATAGGCATCAGTAATTCCCTCCATTCCTTTTCTTTTTTTAACCCCCTGTCCTTCTGTTATTAAGGGCTACACCCTTCTCTCTTGAGGTTTGAAGTTAGGCTCTCTTGCATTTGGCCTCGGCTTGGCTTGTGGAATGTTCTGTCTTCTTAGAAGAGTGGTTTTGATCAGGCTGTATCTGCTATAATAAAAGATACTTCTTAAGGTATAACAGTAGCTAAATCTGTTCCCTAATGGCATTTCCCCATACTGCACACATTCGCTGTCTTTACTTTAGTTTGAAAATGTATTGTTAATCAGAGTACTTATAGTGTAACTTCACAAGTTTCTCTGTCACATGACTGCGTATATCTGACATTAAATGCTATTCATACATGTATTTTTCCACGACTTATCTAGGGATCAGGCCCAGCCTCAGGAACAATATCACTGAATTCAATGAATGTGGATGCGGTTTGTGAGAAACTGAAACAAATAGAAGGGCTGGACCAGAGCATGCTGCCTCAGTATTGTGCGACCATCAAGAAGGTGACCAGCATGTTTCCCTGCTGACTCGAGACAGGGCTGAGGGCGCCAGTGGCGGGTTCTGTGCATGGCGAGCACTTTGTATTTAGCTTCTCAAAGACGAGTTCTCTGTTGAAGTGGGAAAGCTCTAGGTGGAAACAGGTTTCTTACTATTTGTATCCTAAAATTGCCCCTTTATCCCTTAGTTTAGAAATGGATAAAAGAAAATAAAGTGTTGTATTATAACGTTCCTGTAAAATGATCTAATATAAGGGGGAGTTCCCTGGTGGTCCAGTGGTTGGGCCGTGGTGCTTTCACTGCCTGGGTTCCATCCCTGGTCGGGGAACTAATGTCCCACAAGCTATGCGGCATGGCCAAAAAAAAAAAAAAAAAAAATCTAATATAAGTCAAAACTGCTTTGATGAGAAGTACAAAGCTCTAAAGCATTTCACATTAAGATTAACAATAACATATTTCCAATATGCAACATAGAACATTTGAAGGCCTTTTATGTTACATTTTCTTTAATTATAATATTTATTTGTGACTTAATAATTATCCAAGTAAACTATGCTTGCTTCATTTTCCTCAGATTCTCACTTTCATGTCTTAGAGGACTTCTGATCGTGTCCCATTTGAAAATACCTCAGAGGTTTGGGTTTGCAAGGCTAATGCATTTGAGGAAGTTTATTTCTTCCGAGATCTTTTCTTGCAATGCCAGTAACTACCACGAACCTGGGATTTTGAGGAGGCTTCCCATCTACAAGGCTGACCCAGTCCCCGTTTTAATAGATACTTCCACTAAGTTATACTTTTTCAGAGATACAGTGAAGGAGAACATGAACAACAAGCCTGTAATATTTACGTACTTTAAAGACTGGCATTTAAAAAGGTCTTAAAAGAATTATGAGCACATATACCATTTCACTAATCTTAAACTATGTTTGGTCAGAAAGGTTCGGATAATGTTAGTTTTCTCACAGATCTAGTTAGTGTTCATCCCCATTTGCGAAAGTGTCAAGCACTGCCTTTCCAAGGTACAAACCTGACTCTCCTCAAGGCAGCTTGGTGAGCGTCAGGGAAGAGGGAGGTCTCCACGTGAACCCTTTGTGGGGATTCTGTTTCCCTCAGGACAGTGGTTCTCTCCCCACTCAGCTCTTTACTCTCAGGCCTTGGCTGTTTGAAGCCCATCGTAGCAACTGGTTTCTTAAGTGCTGCTAAGCTCCTTGCATTTCTACAGCAGGATCTCTGCCGTAGGCTTGCTCTGTACATCCTTTTCTTCAGAATTAACTTGGAAACTGAGCATTCTGTTGGTTTTAAACCCAGGTATTCCATAATTTTACCACAGTTAATAAAGTCAGGTTTTGTATTTTGTAAAATAAGTAAGCTACCTGTTATTAATAAAGAAAATTCTATCATTTCTTCCTTGGAAGTGTCTAGAATTACGGAGACCCAATAGTGACAAGATCATTTTCTGTGAATTTAATAGACTGGGAAATTTGTGGGTGGACATTCTTGGTGGCTGAAGTTATCTCGTATAGTTGATAAGCAAGTTTGTCAGCACTTCACTTCATTCAGAAGTTCATTGATGACCAACATGCTGACAGATGTCTTTGTCCCCTCCCAGCAGCTTGCCTTCGTGTTCATGTTTTATGATTAGAGGGAAAAAGCTAACAGTTTTGTTATTGCTTATGGCAGAATAGGTAGTTTTGGAAATAGTTGGAGGGTGAGCTCTTGGGTTGGTCCCTGAAGAATGATTTATTTTACTTGAGCGCCTGAGACACTTGGAAGAGTATGGAGTGGCTTATGTTATTCAGATTCTACTTGTCTATTAATTATTACATGGGGTGATAACCTTCTTTAGGTCAGTATTTTCTAGTCTCTAATATAAATGTACTTTTTGATCACTAGAAGTTCAGAATCTCACGTTTTGTTTATCTTTGTATTTGTGTTTGTTTTTATTCAGGCAAACATAAATGGCCGTGTGTTAGCTCAGTGTAACATTGATGAACTGAAGAAGGAAATGAATATGAATTTTGGAGACTGGCATCTTTTTAGGAGCACAGTAAGATATTTTTAATATTTGTAGAATTATTTACAACATTTTATAAAACGAGTGCCAGTAAGTACTGGTCTAAACTGATATTTTCCTATATTTTTAAAAAAACATGTAAAAATTACATTTTACACTTATGTGTACAACTCTTATATATCCTGTTATGTAGAATATACACAGCAGCACTTAGCAACATTTGCCTTTTGGGCATTTCACTTGGAAATCTGGGAAAGAGGCCACCTGCCAATTCTCCATGCTTTCATTGACCAGGACACTCTCCTTGACCTCACTCAGTCAGGCTTCCTGAAGCCTCTAGGCCTTGACCTTGGTGTCTGTCTTCGTTGGGCCTGCATTGCCCTGTTGTAGGAAGCATCCTGTTAAGTCAGTTGAGAAAGAACCTCACCCTCAGTGTCTGATCACCCTCGCTATCGCTATCTGATTACATTCCTCATCCTCCACCCCTCCTCCGCTCCCCGTGAGGTCCTAGACCCCAGGCCTGCCTCCAGGAGGTACCCTGTCAGGTCAGTTCAACCGGAATCCCACCCCGCCTTACCCCTGATGCTTCCTCTTAGCAACTTTCCATCCACTCACCTCCGCCTCATTCATGGGCTGTAAATGCCCACGTGTCCGCGCTGCTTTTGGAATTGAGCCCAGTTCTATCCTGAGGTCCGTTTTTCCCCATTGCGATAGTTCCTGGTTAAAATCTGTTTTTACTGCTTTAGCTGCCGTCCAGCTGTGGTTCTCTTTGACACACTCCAGTTGCATTTTGTTTTGTTCTTAAGTTCAATTTTAAATTAAAGTAGTTACACAGTGGTCAAATTAGAGTATAGTGTATATGTGATGGTTGTTGTCGTTACAGATATCTGTCAGTGTCTGTGGGTGGGTGGTTCCAGGACTCCCATGGGTACCAAAATCTTCAGATGCTTAAGTCCCGTATATAAAATGGCACATATAGTAATATTTGCATACTACACACATCCTCCTGTATACTTTAAATCACCTCTAGATTACTTATGATGCCTCATACAATGTAAATGCTGTGTAAATAGTTGCCAATGTGTGGCAAATTCAAGTGTTGACTTTTGGAACTTTCTGGAATTTTTTTCCGAATATTTTCAATCTGTGATTGGTTGAATCTGCAGGTGCAAAACCACTAGATTCTGAGGGCCGACTTACTTCTTTTAGTACAGATGATCCTTGAACAACTCGGAGATTAATCCACTGACAACAGAGTCAGCCCTCCGTATCCAAGTTTCCTCCGCATCTGCGGATTCAACCTACCCTGGACCATGTAGAAAATATTGCCGTCTTCACTAGTGAAAAATACCTGTGTGTAAGCAGACCTGCGCAGTTTAAACCTGTGTTGTTCAAGGGTCAATTGTATTATTAATATAGAAAGATAAGCAGATAAGAACAAATGTATTTGAAATCCACTTACAGAAAGTATGCTTTCTCATTTCCATTAGAGTAACTTTATGTTTAATTTTTTTAACTTTATGTTTAATTTTTAAGATAATTTCTAAAGCTTCTAAAATGTGATTTGTCAGTGCGGATACTGATGACTTTTTTTTTTTCTCAAGGTACTAGAAATGAGAAATGCAGAAAACCAGGTGGTCCCTGAGGACCCACATTTACTGAATGAAAACAGCAGCTCAGCTCCTCGCGGTGAATCTGCGCACCGCTCGTCACACGAGTTGCCTCACACTGAGCTCTCCAGTCAGACTCCCTACACACTGAACTTCAGCTTTGAAGAGCTGAACACACTCGGCCTGGATGAAGGGGCTCCACGTCACAGTAACCTAAGTTGGCAGGTATTTATTAAATGCCATTTTTCATATTACTGAAGGAGAGGGTGGTGGTTAATTCTCCGAGATTATGTCGGTGCATTTATATAGTCATTCAGAAAACCTTTAATGAGTCCCTGAGTGAAGAGGATGGAGGGAGGAGTCCCTTCTCTCCAGGAGCTGTGTTCTGGAGAGGACAGTCAGTAGAACAAAAAGAAAATAACATGATTTCAGAAATCAATAAGAATTGAGAAAATAATAAAATAGAGTCAATGGCATCGAGGGTGAACAGGAGCTGGCCTACTTAGGTGGTTAGCTGAGTTCATCTTTCACTTGCTGTTTCCTTGTTAAATTCAGTAATCATTGGCTAAAACACATCTTTATTGGATAACCTGCCATGTTATCCCTTTGAGCACCATAACCTGGTTTTTCAGTACGTATGTTGCACACTGTTCGTGGATATTCGCGTGGTGTTAGATACGGCTGAGTTCTTTCTTTGGATGTTCTTAGAAGAGGGAGGAGAGGCGAGGATCAGGAATAAAAACAAAAGTGAGAGAACGTGAGAAGGAGTAAGGGCTGGACGAGAAGAAAAACTAGGAAAAGACCTAGAGCAGGGTACAGAACAGTGAGAAGACAGGCAAGGGAGGAAAAGTAGTAAGTAGCCACCAAGCACTCTCTACTGAAAGGGAGCCATATTTAGAGAAAGGAGTACCTGTTAGATCTACCATTTTTAAGGGTGTTGTGTTTGATTTAGTAGTAAAAATAGTTTTTGGTTGTTATTATCTTTTTCTACGTACTATCTTGTTTCTTTAAGTTGAGAAGCCATTTTATTGTGTGTTAACTAAGGTAAAAATTTCCTTATTTTACGATAAGTCCGCACTTGACCCTTTTATCTCCCTGTTTCAACAACAGTAATTCCTTTCTTTTCCCTGGAATTCCTTTTAACATTTCTTAAGAAATCCTCATCCTCTGCTTTTCCATACTTGGTATTTACCACCGTGACCTGGAAAGTCTCACAGCCTTCCTATCAATGCAGTAGTTCTCAAACTTGTTTTAAATCTCAGAATCCTTTTACACCCTTAAAAATTATTGGAGACCCCCAAAGAGCCTTCGTTTATGTAAGTTTTATCTGTCAGTATTTACTGTATAAGAAATAAAAACTGAGAAACTTAAACCAATTATATGTTAACATAAATAACATTTTTATGAAAAATGACTATTTTCCAAAACAAAGCATATTTACTGAAAATGATATTGTGTTACAAATCTCTTTAATGCCTGGCTTTGTAGAAGACAGCTAGATTCCTGTATCTGCTTCTGTGTTGAATCTCCTGGGAGGTCACACATGAACCAGCCTCTGGAGACTCCACTGTACACTATTGTGAGAATGAGAGTGGAAAGGCAAAGGTCATCTTCATATTCCTAGGAAAATAGTTTAGACCTTGTGGATCCCCTGAGAAGGGGTCCACATACTGCATTTGAGAGTGAGGGCGGCACTGTCCTGAACTGGGTCTCAGGGAACCTTCTCAGGGAGCTGGGTCATTTTCTCCCGGCGGCAGGAAGACTCTGCCTTATTTCTGCTTCGTTTCAACCTTTGCTCTTGCCCTTTCTTAAACTTCCTTGATTCTTTTTCTTCTGTTTCCTTCCTCTTTTTCCTAATCTTTACTTTTTATTCTTCATGTTATTAACCTTTTCTGGAGTCTGAAGCAATTCTTGTCCTAAAACTTCACATTGGAAGTCAAACTTTTAAAAATATTTTATTTCTGTTTACTTGGACCTGAATGTTGACCTCAAGGCTTCCATTTTTGTTCATTTGGATCCTGTATTTATCATTTTATCTTTTCCATTGCACTTTATACTTTTCCTTTTAAAATCTTTTTTTTTCTTTTTTTTTGCATTTTGAGTACATTTTTTTTCTCTGAATTGGAATTTGACAGAAACTTCATGTCGTACAAGTTGAGAAAGGTTCTATTTAACATACATTTAAAGACTTGAGTATTTTGTTTTTGAGATATATCTTAACTCTCATCTTCTTTCTCTTTACTAAGGGGAACTTTTATATTTTATCAATGAAGGTGACTTTTGCCGTAAATAAATGTAAAAGTTTGAAATGATAAAAACAAGTCCTAAGGTTATTTGTTAATATAACCTTAAATTATACTTTTAAATATTAACAATAAACTAATTTTATTAAAATTTGTATAAAGCTTTCTAATAACAGTAAAATTATTCATAAGTTGACAGCTTTTGTTAAACTGTGTTATGCAGTATTCTTCTAAAAGAATTCGGTATTTTAAGGACTTTAAAAATTCTTATTGTCCATATATATATATTTATATATATTTTATATATATATATATAAAATTTTCTAAGCTGATGTTTATTGTGCCTTTTTTTGGGTGTATTTGAATTCTTAAATTATTATTATTTTTTTGTCTTCACAGTCACAAACTCGCAGAACCCCAAGTCTATCGAGTCTCACTTCCCAGGATTCCAGTATTGAAATCTCGAAGCTTACCGATAAGGTGCAGGCTGAGTATAGAGATGCCTATAGAGAATACATTGCCCAGATGTCTCAGTTAGAAGGGGGCACGGGCTCCACAACAGTGAGTGGCAGGTCTTCTCCACACAGCACATATTACATGGGTCAGAGCTCTTCCGGGGGCTCCATTCACTCTAATCCAGAACCAGAGAAAGGGAGGGATAATGAACCAAAGGCAGATGATGGAAGGAAGTCATTTTTAATGAAGAGAGGAGATGTTATAGATTATTCCTCATCAGGAGTTTCCACTAACGATGCCTCACCCCTGGATCCTATCACTGAAGAAGATGAAAAATCTGATCAGTCAGGCAGCAAGCTTCTCCCAAGCAAGAAGTCCTCAGAAAGGTCAGGTCTCTTCCAGACAGATTTGAAGCTGAAGGGAGGTGGGCTGCGCTATCAGAAACTTCCAAGTGATGAAGATGAGTCTGGGACAGAAGAATCAGACAATACTCCACTGCTCAAAGATGACAGAGACAAAAAAGCTGAAGGGAAAGTAGAGAGAGTGTTGAAGTCTCCAGAACACAGCACGGAGCCTATTAGAACCTTCATTAAGGCAAAAGAGTATTTATCAGATGCCCTCCTTGACAAAAAGGACTCATCTGATTCGGGAGTGAGATCCAATGAGAGCTCTCCCAATCACTCCCTTCACAATGAAGCAGCTGATGACTCCCAGCTTGAAAAGGCAAATCTCATAGAGCTCGAAGATGACAGCCACAGTGGAAAACGGGGAATACCGCATAGCTTGAGTGGCCTGCAAGACCCACTTGTAGCGCGGATGTCCATTTGTTCAGAAGACAAGAAAAGCCCTTCCGAATGCAGCTTGATAGCCAGCAGCCCTGAAGAAAACTGGCCAGCGTGCCACAAAGCCTACAACCTGAATCGCACACCCAGCACTGTGACTCTGAACAACAACAGTGCTCCAGCTAATAGAGCCAACCAGAATTCTGATGAAATGGAGGGGCTAAGGGAGACGCCCCAAGTCATTTTGAGGTCTGCTTCCAGTTCCCACTCAACTGCCATTCAGAATGAGAATCTAAAAAGCATGACGCATAAGAGAAGCCAGCGTTCAAGTTATATGAGGCTCTCAAAAGATTCTTCAGAGCTGCACGCAGTAGCCTCTTCTGATAGTACAGGCTTTGGAGAAGAAAGAGAAAGCATTCTTTAAGAAAAACAAGCAACTTTAAGAAAAACAAGCAAAAGCAGAATACTGTTACTATAATCCCTGTGACAAGACTGACCTGAGTTTTATGGTGAATCCATCCACGCACATCACCTGTACATTTCACTCACAAATAATTAATGGATGAGAAGGTCTTTGGTAAAAGAGACATACACTGTACAACAGAGGGAAGTATAAGATAGCCTGGTCCATCTGTTAGCCCCCATTGTCTTTGTACTTAGAAGCTTAAAAACCCAATATTGTTATTGCACCTTTCGTTGGCATATAACTGCAAGACAAGATCTGAGTATAAAGATAGGTCAGAAATAGTTTATTAAATATAAAGGGCTGAATTTGCCAACAGAAATTAAAAGCTAGAGACCCCTTTCATAGAACATTCATTCATTAAATATTTGAGGGAAGACATGATGTTAAATGAACCAGAAGCAAATTTTGCTCTTAAGGGGTGAAACATAAGAACTTACAGCTTATGGAATAGCCTAGAGACTAAAGGTTAATGCTCTGTAAGTTGCGAACCGGTGTTCTGTGTAATAGACAAATTGCTTATCAAAGAGTTTTTAAATTTTAAGTAGAAAATATAAAGAGGGCTTTAAAAATTGGTAAGAATGTGAGTCAACAGTGCCCAAAGGAGAGCCCAGTAACTGGGTCATTGTGAGCTGCTAGGAGAGTGACCTGTGGAGAGGGGCCGATCACCTTCCTATGACCTGGATGCTCTTCTCTCCAGATCCCAGACCTGGCTTCAAGCACCATCCACCTGCCCGAGAACCCGCCCTGGTCTACTCTGTAGCTCCTTTAGATTGTGTGCTCAGCTTTCCTTAGTGAGCCGAGCGATGAGAGGAAAAAAATGAATTCTTTCTCTGGGAGAATCAGGGAGACATGGATAATAATAGGCACTAAAAATCTTCATGGAATGGGAGACTGAGGACATAACTATAGCAGAAAGGACAGTGACAGTTGACAAGTGACAAGGAAATATTTAGTTAGGGAAAACGAAATCACTGCCTTCTATACCAGGGCAGGGTTTATCTGCTTCACCTGTTCCTAAATCGGCATGTTAATTCTGGGGGGAGGTTCATAAGAAATACTTGTAGACAGAAGTTTAAAAACATGTAACAAAGCAAGAGTAAAAAGAAGATAAATCTGGGTGTGACTTTTCATTTACTGTTAGCAGGGTTAAGAGAATGATCACATTTAAGTATTGTGTGGACTAGAAATTTACCCTGGCATCATGCATTGACTTTTTTTGGTCATTTTAACATAGCTTACTTACGTAGAACGATTTTGGCAGTATATCGTCAGTCACAGGGAAGATGGTAGGTGGTGAGATCATAGAGGAGCAGTTACCTAAATTTTGTGTTTCCATTTTTGATGTTTTTCACTTACTGGATTTTTAATATGCTGAATAGTTTATCTACTTGACCAGTCGTTGCATTAAAAAGTTGCTCGTTTGGGTTTCACTGCCTTGATGTTTGAGTGTAATCTAACATTTTCATAAAGTGTTTATTTTGCATGACCTTAACAAATGTTTTAACCAATTAAAAAAAGAAGGCAGGATGTTGTTGACATTGTATGTTGAAATGTTAACATTTTAGTACTTACAGTGTTTATTAGTCTGCAGTACTATGTAATTAGTCATTATTTCAGGGGCAATACTTTGTTCCTTTTCAGGTGAGTAGATACAGCTTAATATCACTGTAGTGTATTCTTTATTCTGTTTGTAAAGTTAATACTAGAGTGTTAAGTGTACAGATAGATGTAGAAAACAATAAAAAAAGTTGCATGCTATTCTGAGTCATGAATTTTTATTCACTATAGTGACGATGATTCACAATTCAATTAAAAATAAAAAAGTAATTTGTGTGTTTGTTTTGTCAGAGGTCTAAAGTTCATTAAAGACGTTCAGGTGCATGTAGCGCTCGTGCAGCTGCAGGAGTGTTCTGAGCTGCTCTCTCTAGTCTTTCCGAGACAGCGTGGCTCAGTGCCTGAATGGTGCCTTTGTGAAGCATTAGTACCCATGGCACAGCTCTGTACCGTGCATTTCTGTAACTGCAAGAAGTAGGTTTTCCAGATCCTGGGAGGGTATCAGTTTAATTGTTGTATGAACATTCTGGAAAAGTTTGCTTTTTCATAGTGTTTTAGAAATTGACAAACCAGATGGGTTATTGAGTCACACCATCATCCCTTTGAATCTGTGTGTCTATGTGCATGTGTATCTGTATCTATTTATAATCCATAGCTCAGCCTAACTCTCACATACGCAAAGCTCTGCTTTAAGCTGGGTGACAAATGACGGAAAAGAGAACTGGTGCTCTACTCTCACATAGGCAAAGCTCTGCTTTAAGCTGGGTGACAAATGACGGAAGAGAACTGGTGCTCTAAACTTGCTAGTCCCTTAGCTTCTGCCTCGGAGTCTTGCCATGTTTTATAAACCGTTTTGCCTTTACTTTAAGCCACCAATAGTTCTGTTCATGTACCATAACGTTAAGCCAGATCCATTCACTGTGGACGTATGGAGTGGTACCTACGAGGACAGCCTTTCAGTAGGAGAGACTAGAAAAGAAGCTGTTGCTCTCTCTCAACTGATACAACTTTCAGGATGCTGAGCATTTAAGGATCAGCTCTCAAATTTGGAGAAATGTCAAATTCATAATAACCAACATTTTCAATATTAACAGGAAAACTTGTTTTTGTCTTACATTTTTATTTAAGTTTTCTATAGCAGTCAGAATAATTTTAGAAACTTACTTGCTAAAATTCTTAATCTTAAATTGAGGGCTCTTTGGATCACTTGCATGTTATAGTTCTGAGTGAAATATACTTGTAATCATGATTTTTTTTCTTACAAATACTAACCATTAGAAAATATTTTCGAATGAAATTACATCCTTTATCCTTCTGGCTAAAATACTAAATTTAAAAGGTTTTAAAACTACATAGATTTTGGCTGTGCCAGGAATTCTCAGCCTATTTAGAGGTATCAGCCTATTTAGAGCTTAAAAATCACTGAATTCCTGGTTAACCCTTGAGTAAATCAGCGTAACTACCAGGAAAAGAGAACCAGAGGGCACTGTGCCCTCTACGAATGAGTGACATTGAGGGAAGAAGCAGGTAAAAGGGAAGGAGCAATGAAATTAACTTCTTTGACAAACACTTGACACTGAACATCTAGGCTCCTTCGCCTCCTGCCCTTCTAGAACCGTGCTGACACTTGGCAGAAGGGAAGAAACAGCCGAACAGCCGGGGAGCCTTTTTTGCTTTGGGTAGGGGTGGGGCTGGACCGGCCTGGGTGGGCTGTCTGAAATGACTGCATTTTTAATTTCCATGTTGTGGTGCCCCTTACCCTTCCCTACCTCAGAATTCTGAGCATAGAATATAATTATGCAGATGAATTGAAAAATAGAAAGAAATTGATCTATAACTGAGAGCCTGCACTTGGATGGTCTTTTAATGGCTCATCACTTGAGAAAGGTTGAGAATCCTTGATTGAGACTGATTAACTGGAAAGAGAATTTAAAACCTTACATATTTTAAACCCTTTCATGCCTAGGAAGAAAATGCTGCCCTTGAGATAGATAGATCTTCAGAGGGATCCAGTTTAAGCTAAGGTATGTAAAATATTAGTTTTCAAAGTAATTAGTTTTAAGCCGCCGTTGAAACAGTTCTCACCAATTAGAGAATTTACATTCTCACCACTTTAAGAAATAGAGTTAAGTAAGAAATATCTAAAACAGTTGCTAGAAATCGACCACTGTCACCTACATGGTCAAAGCTTTTTAAGTAAAATTACTGGTAAAGCACCACTTTGGTTAACACCAAGTCTGCTGTGCCCAGGTCTGTGGGTGAGAGGTTTCCTAAAGGGGCTTCCCAGCACATGGAGCAGAAAAATCTTTGAATAGGCCTGGCTGGCTATGTGGTAAGCTCTATCCTGAGTTTCCAGTTACAGTGAGGCATTAAGAAAACAAAGAATTTGTAAGAATAAAAGGATCAGTCAAGAAGGAAGAGCAATTATTTCCAGACTATTAGTAGGATGATTCCTTAAAAGTCAATAAAAATGCCAGTGATTTGACCTAACTGGAGTGAGGACCAACCAAAATTGGCCAAAAGTGTGAATTACAGTAATACTGTACAAGAAAGGCAGTGGGACTGTTTTAAAGTCCACAGAATATTCTGACAGTGCCTATACAGGATGACCAGCAGTCATCTGTTTACGAAGAGTACGCGTAGGTCCTTAATCTCCTGGGCTTAATGTGCTTGGTGGAGGGTTATTTACACCAGTGATATATATTATGAGCCCTTAGTTTTGCCGGGATTTAACAAAACACAAAACAATCTATCAAACAATTGTTAGAACTTGAATAAATAAAATATTACTTTAAAAAAGAGTATAGAACTACATGCTCCATATTATTCAAATTAAGGAGTTGTTTGAAATAATTAAGATTGTCTTGATTACCCACTATCATTTTCTAATTTTAACATATATTTCATACTTATTTACCTCATTTCCTTTCAAGGCAAGAAGGGCTCTAGATCTTAGTACCCTGCCCATAGACCATTCCTCCTCAAAATTCGGTTACCTTCTCCCAGTTGCTGGCTTCCTCACCAGACACAAGGGGGTAATGAAGATTCTATCTGCCACTCGGTAAGCCTGCTCTCCAGTCGACTGAAGAAGAGAGACTTGTTCACCTCGGCCAGTTTCCTTTGTTCCTAGTAGTTGTAAAATGTGAATTCGTTTTAATGAAGTGTTCCTTTTGTAAAATTTTAGATAGAAGCCCAAATGTATAGCAAAATGCATGTAAATAAACTCTACATAACCTGACATTTCATATCTTATAGCATCTTCTTGGTCAAATGTCTAATAAAAATTTAGATTGTTATTTTCAAATTACCATAGTTCCTGACACTTGCACTTTTTAGCTGTGTTTCTGAGAATTTGTAGGCTGTATATTGTTATACTTAATGCAAATTTAACTCTCTTTATTTTT